GGGGGAATTTTTTTGTCAAAGAGGGAGATTATCAACTCCCTCACAGGTGACAGGTCCAAAGGGGAGTTTTCAAATTTTTAAAAGAAAAGAGGAAGTCTCCCTCATAGAACTTGTGCATTGGCAGATGTGCTACAGCATTTGTGCTAATACTTGCATGGATTGGATCTTACATCTTTTACACCTGAAGATTTTGTATTAGTATAATTTACATTGTGTTGTTGATGTGAGTAATAGGATTTGCATGCAGATACATGAGGGGCCTGATGGAGGGGGTCTCATCACGATTCACGAGTTGATTTTTTTGTCAATCACGATTCACAGAAAATAAATTTCCATGATCACGGATCACGAATATATAAAAAAAAAAATCTGTAGAAAAACGGTTCACGATAGCGAAAATGCGCCGATCACGAAGAACGAAAATAACCCATCAGGCCCCTCATACATGTATTGATTTGTGTGACCTTCCTTTTTAACTTGGCTTACAACATTAATACAGTATGGTGCACAATTATGTAATCTTTATTACAGTATAGGAGCAAAAAAAATAAACTTCAATATACACATCATTTGTCATATTATACAGTAATAATGAGTATAAAAGGAGATAAAGAGTATAGATTAACAGATTGCAACCCAAGGACAAGGAAATGAAATCTATTAGAAATACAAATTATTAGAAAGCCAGTGCTTAGATAAAAATGCCTGTACTTTTACAGTGCTTATCCAAACTGCTCGGCCTCCATTAACTTTTAGAAAAATCTTCAATAAAAATGCTTCGCCAATTAGAACCAAACTAGACTAGAATCATCCTTTGGATATTTAGTTTAAAAGTGTGTCTGATGATCAAGCCTGTTACCCAACTTGGCTGCCAAGGCTAAAAATAGAAGATGGGGGTATAAAATGAAAGTATTGTCTATTGTCTTTTAAACTGTTATAGATATAGAAAATATGACTGCAACAACAATTTTCAGAATGACAAGAACTACTTACTGTCCATTTTGACCAAAAATGTCGTACAACTCCTTCAAGGAGTTATTTCCCTTTAATGACATTTTTTTTGCAATTCTGGCTATTATCTTTAAAACTGTAATTGATAAAGTGATACTATAAAAAGGTGAAATGATCAGCATAACAAAGATCTACAAATAAGGAAAACATAGTAGAAATTGTCAGGTTACTCCTTTAGGTAGTTATTGCCCTTGAAAGACAATTTTCATCCTTTTTTTTTGTCTTTTTTTCCTAAACTATAGTAGATAGAGAGAAACTGTTGAAATAAAAGGTAATCACCTGGACAAGATAAGTCAACATGGCCAAAATCATAAATCCACTTCCTATAGGAGATATTGAAGGACAATTTTTACCCATATTTGTGTTTTCTTGCATAAATTATAGCAATACAGAGAAACTGTACACAACAAAATTTGTCAATGGAACAAAATATACAAATAAGTTAACATGTCAGAAATATGTGTATTGAATGTCAAAATTTTATGTAGGTAGCTCATAATTATATCCACAAAATGTTGAAAATTTGTTGCTAATTGATATGCAATAGAGAATGAAAGTAATATAACCCACTGTGAATTCATTTATTTTTGTGAATACCAATTTTTCATTGATTAAAGAAAACATTCATTTCGTGGATATTTAATTTTGTGGTTTGGCCAAAAATCTGCGTACAAACCTTTAGAAAATTTGTATTTCTTTAAACACTCAAATTCATAGTTTACCTATACCTACAAAATCCCACAAAATTAGTACTGTCAATTCATTTATTTTTCGTGGGTACCAATTTTTGCGGAATAAGAAAAACTTTCATTTTCATGGATATTTTTTTTGGTGGTTTTGCATATAGAAAGTTTGTCCTTTATTGAACATTTTAACATGTTGTTAACCTGTACCCAAGAAATCCACAAAAATTGGTATTTAACGAATAATAATGAATACACAATACCCCCTGAATAACAATGAATCCTCAGATGTGGATATACATATGAATTGTAAGTAGAATGCATAAAGCTTTCTTAAATGTGCAATACAGTAACTTAATACTAGACTGATAACTTCAGGGCTTTATATGATAATACATCTGATTCGAACAAAAACAAAAGTACTCACATCACAAATCAATAGAGATTATGTTTGTTCTGAATGCCCCACATCGAAGGGAGGTAACATTTGGCGTATGAATCATGTCGGCAATATAAATTCAATAATTTATTTATCTTTTGTTCAAAGATACATAAAAGGAATTATAAAAACATTTTAATTCTTATCCTTTTGTTTATGATTTTAATGAAGGATTTCGATTAGCATTAAAGTACACTTGTGGGACAGGGTTTTGCTTCTTGTTGAAGGTTGTACTATGACAAAGAAAAATTGGTACATCATTAACAATATTACTGCCACAGTAATTAAAAACCGGTTAACTGTGGCCTAAGCATTATCATTATGACATACAATCAGAGGAGATAGGCCATTAGTTCATACTATGTAGATACATCTGATTCTAAGGTTAATATAGTTAATGTATGTTTGTTCCATAAGCTCTGATTGAAAACAATGGCAGTCATAAGATAAAAGGTCCTCAATTTATCTTATCCCTATAATTCAAAGTAGTATAGGCCTAGATGATTTCTGTAACATAGCCTATGGTGACATTTTCCTGAAACTTGGTAAGAACTACAAGATAGGACGGTGCTTTGCTTTTGTGCCAATTGGCATTTCATTTGCACCAAAATAATCTTTCATTTGCGCCACAAACCATATTTCATTTGCGCCAAAATAAAGCAATTCATTTGAGCCAATAATACAGGTAAATAGTATGAAAATAGTTGTATTCAAAAAGAAATTTTTAATAATAACTTTAAAACACAGTTTTTGATAGCATAATAAAACATATTCCTCCGAAATCAGTCATCGTAACCCCAATGAAAGCACTATACACTGATACGTTCTTAATAAGAGACTTTTCTTAATAATGTAAAAACAACAGTTCTGTTATAATAAACTAACGAGATCATAAAACCTAAAAGAAAGCACTATACACTGATACATTCTTAATAAGAGACTTTTCTTAATAATGTAAAAACAACAGTTCTGTTATAAATTAACGAGATCATAAAACCTATAAGAAAGCACTATATATATACACTGGAGTAAAACCAACTGTTTGTTTGTTCTGACACAAGACTTGTAAGCAACAGCTCTGATGTTCTCATTTACACAGGATAAAACCTATATGTGTGGTCATAAAAATTACAGACTAATTTCCTCTATAAACAAATAAGGAGATGTGGTTTGATTGCCAATGAGACTACTATCCACCAAAGTTCAAATGAAGTGGATGAAAGCCATTATAGACAACCGTACGGCCTTAAAAAACCCATATCGTGTAGTCGGCTATAAACGGCTCCAACATGAAAAATATGAAACAATCCAATTCTGAGAAAAACTAACGGAACTAACTCAGAATTGACAATGTCCATCTTGACACCTCAAACATGTGAATACTATATAATTTGAAACCTAAGTGACTCTTAGTTTTATATTAAAAAATGAGTATGAACTTACTTACCCGGGGGGAATACTTAAAAAAAAAATCTTACTCACGATGTAGTAATGAATATTTTAAACTTTTCTGTTATATAAGAAGCTGCTCAACCAACACCTTTGTGGTGAAGTGAAGGTAGAGTCACTAAAGAGGATACCCGATGGTATGCAGGGTTGTCAATAAAAATAAATAAATAAAATACCGCTGGATTGACAACAACACTTTAGTGAACTGCAAGTTTTATTGTGTCGACTAGTTTCGCCGATTAGATCGGCTTCTTCAGGACAAATTATATAGAAATTACAATCCCTGAAGTATAAAAAAATGGTATCTAAATTTTAACGTCATAATGTGTTTACTCCATTGTCTTTGTTGTTCCTGGTTACCAATGTATGAATGAAATGAAAAAATTTCAAATGTATGTACATAAAGGAAGTAAATTAAAAAATATGTGTAACATGAATGTAAGTACAATGTCAGTGTACAGTTTGTATAAAGTTTCTTCCTAATTTGGACAACACTTTTAGGGCACACCTCTACCACTTCGACTGGCTTCCCTTTGGCCAGAGGTACTACTTCCAATCGCGGAAATGCTGTAACTAAAAGTGGTTTACCGTCGCAAAATTTTTAGGCAATTTAGGGATGGTATCTCTGTTTTTACATATATTTAAATAATTTTGGTGTTGCTGGCATCTAACTAATTTAACATTTAATTTTCTGAAGGCACATAATGATGGTACATTTATTTCTCGAATCCTTTGCGGCTCTTCTTTGTACGTGGATTCTGCTGTCTGATCTTCGTTTGTTCTTTTCCTTATATTTGTTTGTAGTTCGGCAGAGGTTGATGGTGTCGGTTGATTGCTGGCTTCTTGAAATTCTTCGGTATCGTTCGATTCCATGGTGGCCAAGTGGTCGGCGCTGTGTGGTATAGGCAGATCAGTGGATGCAGGGGTTCAGAAATCGGGATAAAAATAAGAAGCTGCTGAACCAACGCCTTTGTGGTGAAGTGAAGGTAGAGTCACTAAAGAGGATACCCGATGGTATGCAGGGTTGTCAATAAAAATAAATAAATAAAATACCGCTGGATTGTCAAGGTAAGGTGTGAGAGCATTTATACATCAGTGTGCTCTCTATTCATCACTTTTCAATCTCCCCCGAGACTAATTGATTTAATACAGCTAAATGTAGGTGGACTGTCTATGTATGTTATCCTTCAGAATTGTTTCTAAAGAGCTCCCATGTTTACCAAGATGGAAGCTTTTACTAAATAAAAAATAAAAAGCTGATTGTTTGTTAAATTATTACCAATTTCACAAACTAATCCATTACAAGCAATAGGAGTAGTCAGGTGCATTCAACCTCAGGTTTACAATTTTTATACACCAGCATCATTTTTTTAGTAAATGGAAACATCTTTTTTACTCACTTCTCAATTTTTTTCCAGATCTGATGGAAAAGAATATATCTTCACTGCTGAGAACCATGAAAGCCTGATGATATGGTTGATAGGACTACAGGTATGTGATGCTCAAAAGTTGTGCTTTCATTTCAGATTTCCACATCCTGGAGTTAGCTTAGCCTTTTGTACATTAATTAAAGAAAATGTATGGTATAGGTCAATAAAACAGCAACCCAACTACACAGAAAATGAAAGGACACCTTGTATATAAAAGTTACTTGTACATTTACTGTGGATTCGTTATCTTTGTGGGTACCAATTTCCATGGATTAAGGAAATATCATGTTTTCGTGGATATTTGCATGATACATGTATTAATGCATAATAATTTAATTCTATGTACAAAAAGATTTTAAAAAAAATGTTATGGCTATTTGGTATTGGAAACATTTGAATAAAAGATAGATTGGGTAAACATAAACTGAACAACACAATGCAATGCAATGCAACCAAAAAAAAAGAAGATATGTAAGTGGTATAGTGTGTTCAACCAGTGTGTATAAAAAAATCATTTATTTATGACCTATGGTTTTTGATTGTCCACTTGGTATCCCCCCCCTTTTTTATGCCCCCGCTGAAGCGGAGGGGGCATTAAGTTTTACCCTTGTCCGTCTGTACGTACGTACGTCCCAAAATTGGTTTCCATTCTCTAACTTTAGTTTGCCTCAACCAAATGTTATGAAACTTATACACAATTCTTATTACCACAAAACACAGATCAAGTTCGAATTTTGGTGTCGTCACTTTTGCTGTCCTAGAGTTATGCCCCTCTACAAATGGAAAAATTGCTGAATTTTTCGTTTCCATTCTCTTATTTTAGTTTGCCTCAACCAAATGTTATGAAACGTATACACAATGCTTATTACCACAAAACTCAGATCAAGTACAAATTTGGGTAGCGTCACTTTTACAGTTCTTGAGTTATATCCCTTTATAACATTATATGCAAGCGGGGGCATTATCTGTGTCCCATGGACACATTCCCCATTTATTTAAAGATGTTTTTTTAGTAAAAGACATAAAGTCTGTCATGTGTCAATATTCAGAATTAAAGAAAAAAGACACTTCTAAAATTTCAAAATTAAACATGACTAACTTTAAGGTATAACTTTTACAGGTTTAATAAGTATAGAATTAATGAAATAAATATTATATATAAAAATTTCTACAGGCAAAGCGTGAATCCTATATTAAAGATCAAAATAAAGTGGTAACAGCCCCAGAGGGCAAGTCACACTGCAATAAGGTAAGTGTAAAATCATTCCCTTAATTTAACAATGACATATAAAGTTGAACAAGTTAGTACTTATTAGTTTTAACAGATGCTATTAATTTATGAAATTTTAGGTAGCATGTCTTTCAACTAGGGATGTCAACGAGTACTCGAGTACTCGAGTATCGCTCGGTAGTACCGAGTATCGAATACCAAAATGATACTCGACTAATCGATTTCCTGTTAGAATGTTGTTGCCTTCTTAAAGAAATAATATTTTTATTAAGAGCGCCTCTCAGGAAATTAAATATTCCCAAATACTATTGTTTGAGTAATCTTTTTTCTATAGATATTTTTTAATTAATTGACTAAATCATTGCCAGTTTACATAATTAGTACATGTGGTAAATGAGCTATTAATTATGGTATAAAATTCCTTTGACTATTATCTAGTCTTGGGTAATAATGTTGAGGGTTTTACGTCCATAAGACAATGTCCCACAATACATAAAATGGGTATAATTTTGTGTTTCCATTCTGTAGATGTTTTTCCGAGCGAGTACTTGAGTATCGCTCGGTAAATCCAACAAGTACGCGATTCGTAAATCTTCACCAGGTTGACATCCCTACTTTCAACCATTATTAACCTTTAAAACAAAGAAAAACAAAATGTATATCAAATTACATTTACAGTTCTACAGACTTAATTGTATAATGTTGTCATTTGTCATCCATTTTTAGCTCACCTGGCCAAATGGGCCAAGTCAGCTTTACTCCTCAATTGACGACTGTTGTCTGTCGTCGTAAACTTTTACAAAAATCTTCTCCTCTGAAACTACTGGGCCAAATTTAAATGAACTTGGCCACAATCATCACTGGTGTATCTAGTTTAAAAAATAAGTTTGATGACTCTTATTTATTGTTTATTGTTGAAGATGCACACAGACCTAGGTTAACGACACAGGCTCTTTTGAGCCTCTAGTTATTATACTCCCACAAACAAAGTTTGGGGGATATTTAGGAATCACCATGTCCCTCCATCCCTCCCGCTTCCTGTCCGGTGCATAACTTCTGTACTTTAAAACTTAGGTTAACCAAACTTGGTATGCACTTGCATCATGGCCTTGGGATGTGTCACATACAAAGGTCAGATCACTCTGATCAAATATACCAAAGTTGGGTCACTCTGACCTTAACTTTGACTACTATGAAAGTTAAACCTTGTCTGATTTGTGTCCTGTGCATAACTTTTGTACCATAGAACTTAGGCTAACCAAACTTGGTATGCTGACACATCATGGTAATGGAAGGGGGAGGGGGGGAGGGGTCATATATCAAAATCAGGTCAATCTGGTCTTAAATTTGACCTTTAAACCCTATGATCTATGATGGTATAACATTGTCTGATTTGTGTTTGGTGCATAACTTTTGTGCTGCACTTAGATTAACAAAACTTTGTATGCAGAAGCATTATTCTGGCCTTGACCTTAAATTTCTGAATTTACAGTATATAAACCTCAGACTTTATTTCTGGGTCATATAATTCTTTCAGATTAACCTATCAGTAACCATGTGTCAATCTAAGACAGATGCAATGATTATATAACATAAGAAGCTGAAAACCAAAAATCTCAAAACATCACTGCCTCATTACTGAATTTCACAGCAGCAACTAAAATGCATGAAGGATGGCTATTAGTCCCGCTATGGGGACAGCTCTAGTTTTTTTCCCTAGTGTTTTCCATTTTAATCTTTTTCTCAAAAGCCTCTAAATGGATTGTAGTCAATTTCAGCAGATAAATTCATTAGAAGGTCGTTTCCAGATTTTATCTCTTTGGTAATGACTCTTTATTAGATATTGAAACCAAAGATTGTTTTTTTAAGAGACATCAAGAAGTCAAGAAATTTCCCATATAGTTTACATGGTCTGTTAATCAAACTGTACACATTTTCTATAGGCTTGTATTCAGATTTAACAAAACCGTGAAATAACATCCATGAAAATACAATTGGTACTAACGAAAAAATGAATAAATCATAGATATATGACTTTCTGTGGTATGATAGTCGTTTATCTGTATTTTTTTCAGAGAGTTATCGGTATAGATAATTGTGAGTCTAACATACCAATGGGTGTAACAAGAAGAAAGGTGAATTGGCAGACTTATAAAAATCAGAAAGTGGCAGAATCTCTCGACTCTGCTCTCTACAGAACAAAAAGTTAGTATGAACATAATGCGACTTGTTTCAATGATACATCCTTTGTGATCTATCATACTATTTTATGCACATTGAATTTGTTTGTACTTAGTATGTAATACTAGGGTTTTTAGTAAAATCAATGTTTAATATGATAAGCTTTAATTAATTTTTTGAATTTTACAAACAGCTTAAAACTATTGGAAAATCTAGAAAAAAATTCTCTCAAGACTTTTTAAGGGCATACGATACAGTTACAGGGGAGGTAATGACGTTGCTAACGTTAAATGTTATTTTTCACGATGTCAAACTGTGATATATCGGGAAAAGATGCATTTTCAACTGATTTTTATCATTCAGACTGATTTAACTTGAAAACGAGTTGATGGACCCCTCTTTTTAAAATGACATTAGGCTTAATTATGTATGAAGATTATTTGTGCCAATTTATATGAACAAATCACTGATGAAATTTTTTTTAAATTAGATAAATATACAGCAAAAAATGCCGTTCTTTGACTAAAATCATGGAAATGTGATTAAAATTAATAATTTCCAAAGAATAGCTTCACAAATTCAAAGCACACTTATATAGAGAAGATATTCCAGATGCTTTTGCAAAAATCTGCTTGCGTTTATCTTTTTTTTTTTAAATTTAAGGTGTGTCTTTCTAAAGGAAAAAAATGACCAAGAAACCGAAATTTCTAGTAAATGTCTAAAATTTCAACCCCATTTATCTCTAAAAGTAGCACATGAAAGTATATTTTTTATAACATATCTGAATTGACTAGGTGAAAAATAGCTTGTATGCTAACTTTCATCAAAAATTCACCGTGGGATCAAAAATGTATCCTATGCCCTTATTAATCTTATATGCTAAAGCTGCTGCTAGGGGCAGTCTTAAACTAACAGTGAGGTGAGAGTTTTTTTTTTTTTTTGCTCCGTGTTGAAGACCTCACTGTGAGTTTGAGATGAAGAACAGCAATAAAAGTGCTGTTCCTTTGCTTTTTGTGTGTTTTTTGCTGTGTATGTACTGATTTTGTGTCATGGATGGAACCCCGTATCCTATGTTTGTCTATTGATAGTGATATTTAAAAATAGTATATCTAGAATATCTGTCCAAAAGGCCAGTGTGAGCTATAGCCATTAATCATGTTCGCCAACTTTGAACTTTGAAAAGATCTTTGAGGGGTATTTTATCTTAAAGTCATGCCAAACAATAGTAATGCTGTCATTTCTTTGAAAAGAACATGGGGGTAGCTGGGACTCTCTCTCGAATTTTAAAGGGTAAAAGATATAACAAAAATATTAAAGAATGTTTTTTATAGATTTGCTTGGATAAGGACTGAAAAAAATACTAAATGGAAAAATATCAAAAATAGGATAAATTTTTTTCCATTCCATTTCTTCTCTGTATTAAAAGTCAGACAGTAAGATTGTACTTTTTACTAAATCTAAATGTCATTAAAACAAATATCCTTTTTTTTTTCATCTATAGTAAGAAAACAACTTTTAGATATTAATTATTTTTTGCACCTGTATTTTCTTTTGCAAAGATCATAGTTCTTCAGGATTTTGGTGCCACAAAAAAGATCTGATTAAAATAGCAATCTTATGTGCACATTTTGTTTACAAAGATCTGACAATGCTCTGTTCTAGTTTCTGAATGTCAACTTAGGAAATTTCTGTGTTAAAAAAGTCTTCACAACAGAATAAAGTGTCAGGGCATTGTTAGGTCCTTGTAAATGACGTGTGGAACAGATTCTGTGTTTTAATAATTTTGATTAAAAAAATTCAGGTGGTGCTTATTGAAAAAATATTTATACATGAATTACAAAATAAAAGATACTGTCTTCTCGATGCTTACAAATTGGTTTTGAATCTTTTTTTTTTAATAACAATTGCAGATCTATCATGTTTTTATTATGATGAAAAGATATTCACCAAAAAATTAATGTGCACTTAAAATTTCCTAAAAAAATTTGCCTTTTTAAAGCATAAATTTGCATTAGCTGTATGTATATGAGATTTGATTTTTTGCTGATATATCAATTCTATAAATAATGTATTCAATATTTGTTTTTCATGCAACAGCTTTATATGTATCTATTATATGCATCACTTTTATGAACAGCTTAATTGTTATATATTATATTGAATTAATTTAAAAGTAGGTCACCACTAGATTTGTATAAATATCACTTTATTATATTAATTTTTTTGGAAAATTATATGAGTTTTTATATTAAATATTTTTGTGGAAATCTTTTTTGTTCTTTATTAAGTCCAAAGTAATATTATTTTTTAATAACCTATATTGTAAAACTTGGTTTCTTTCTTACTTAAAGTTGGAAAAAATATACAGAAATTTTCAATATATTTATTATTTAAATTTACAAATCTAAACTTGATGAAGAAAAGAAAAAACAGCCTGATTTAAGGCTATTGTAAAAAATTCTCATGTTTTGTGAGAAAATTTATATGTTTCTTTTTGCTATTTATCAAGGATTTGTATAGTGAATTTGTAAATCCTATTTATTTAGAAAAAAACAGTATTAAATTTAGCATTAATTTATCAATGTTTAGACCATCAAGAAGCAAGTAGATCTAGGTCACTGCCACCTGTTTTTGAAGGTAAAATGTGTTTCAGGTTTGGTCTGAACTGACACTGCCTAACATTTTTTATTCACCACTGTAAGGGAGATAATCCAAACTTTATTTCTGACTTTTACATCATCTATAAAAATAACAGTGGTGAATAAAACTATTTTTAGCACAATTGCATTATATCCCACCAAGCTAATCAGCTTCAAAGTTACTTTTCTTACCTTTTCACATCCACTTATAGTTCACTTAATTTACAATTTACACTACTAATTTTCTTTGCTTATCGCTCAATTTGAACCAGCTGTATATATTTTTGACAGTGGCTTTTAACCTAGTATATCATACTCCTTCTTATAGCTCAACCCATCGCTATCCGTGAGTATCTATATGTTGTAGATAAAGTGGTTGTTTTTCTGTTTTAAATGACTTTGTATTGATTCAGTTACTTATACTTGTACTATGTTTTGTCGAAAAGAATAATATTTGAAAGTTTGTTTCTATTAAAGCTCTAGGTTGTAAAAAATTCTCATGTTTTGTGAGAATAATTTTATTTGGAAAAGAGCAATATGGTGGAAAGATTAAAAAGTTGATGATAGATAAAAAGTTGAAGTAGTATTTTAGGAGATAACTTATCGAATTCTTTTAGAAATTTAAAGAAAAATTTTGGATATAGGGGATACTGTTCTTGATTTAATGTATTACAAAATATGGATGTTTGTGCCTTACCATATTTTACATACTAAAAATGTGAATTTTGTAATGGAAAGTTTATTTTTCTCTGAAACAATTCTGTACTGGAAAATTTATTTAGAAAAAGACAAAATGGTTACACCAATTGAAAAACATTAAAGTGTCAGAATTTTTTTCTGATTCACCAATGGTTCTTTTAATATAAATTATGTTGAAGTCATATACAGTCATCTTTTTATAGTTCATGATATAATAGTATGAAAACTGAATCATGGCATGTCATTTAAAATTGTGTTGATTTTTCCCTTCTCTTCCTTTCATTGTTGAAGTTAGCATCAAAGTCAGATCACTGACTTCTTAATAATATCGTAAATTTTTTTTTTCTAAAATGAAATCTTGCTGCAGATATATATAGTCTTTCTAAATTAATTTATTTATGGTAGAAAATTAAATCACATGTAAAATATTTTTTCTAATTCAATATACTTAAAATGGAAAAAACTTATTGAAAATTCAGAAATTATTCGAGGTTTTTATTATTGTGCCCATCGCAATAATAAGAACTCACATTCTGAAATCTGACACATACATTTGTATGCAGCTTTTACTGTTATCGCAATAAATAATCTCACAATTTGGTCAGTGATATCGAAATCGCAATAATAAATGCACGCAATAATTTCTGAATTTACAGAAGATCACATGATAAGTCGTTATGGAAAATAAGATATCTTAATTGTAACAAAGTTGTCCTTTAGTATTGTGTACCCCTGTTCATTTATTTGACAAAAGCTGATAAAGCTGAAATTCCAAGTGTCATGTTTTAAATAAAAACCCTGCACATTATATTTGAATAATAGGTTACTTTGTTTGAACTTGAAACTTTAAAATTTAGCTGTTTTTTTTTGTCTTAAATTTAAATTTCAAGTTTTACAGTTTATCCAGCTATAAGGTTTGTGATTTCTATGAAATATCAGTGAAACTCAAAAGACATACATCATAAGTGTTTCTCGTATCTCATTTTTTATATAGATTAGGCTGTTGGTTTTCCCGTTTGAATGGTTTTACCCTAGTAATTTTTGGGGCCCTTTATAGCTTGTTGTGCGGTGTGAGCCAAGGCTCCATGTTGAAGACCGTACTTTGACCTATAATGGTTTACTTTTATAAATTGTGACTTGAATGGAGAGTTGTCTCATTGGCACTCATACCACATCTTCTTATATCTATATAATCCTTAAACAGTTCAAAGTATTTCCAGAGTGGTTTCATTAATTGGAACCATAGATCATTGTTTATTAAACTGGTTGATGATGCTAAATACGTTGTTTTAATTCATTAATACTTTTCCTAATCAGAATCTCGCCTGAACATGCATGAAATATTTGCCACTATAATAATAATAATAATAAATTCTTTATTTAAAGAGGGTAAACTCAGTTAGTTACAATAAACTAATCTTCCCTGAGGCCCTCACATACAAATTACAATACAATCAAAAAACAGATATTTACACATAGTTAATTTACAGTCAATTAGTTCAATGTAATATTACTAACATGATAAGATATAAGGCTGTTCAAGATGTACATGTAGTCAAAAAATCAAATATAAATAAAAATAAAAGAATATACAAATACATTGTAGAAAACATAATCTTATCAGGACTGTGTTAAGTACTTCTTGATACTTTGTTTAAAAGTATAAGTGTTTTGAGCTTTACGCATTTTGTTTGGTAGTCCATTCCATAACACTGATCCAGAATAAACAAAAGATTTCTTAAATAGCTCAGCTTTTGGCTTAGGAACTATCAGATTACCTTGAGTGACGCCTCTCAGGGAGTAAGGATTATTATCTGATTTCAGTTTAAACTTTTGAACTAGGTACATTGGTGCTTCCATACGCATACATTTATATAGAAGTAAATATTTGTGGTATTTTATTCTATTGTCAACTGTCATCCACCCAAGTTCTTTAAATAAGGGGGCTGAGGGGGATAAAGGAACTGCATCTAGAATTAATCTTGCTGCCCTTTTTTGGAGTTTTAAAATTCTTGTTATCCCTTCATTTTTACATTCACCCCAAATAATACAGCAGTAGTCAATCAGGGGCAGAATATACCCATTGTAATATGTTTTCCTTGCATTTATATCTAAAAATTTCTTTATTTTAGAAAGGAGGTATATTCTGGATGATATATTAGCACAAACTTGGTCAATTTGATTTCTCCAGTTAAGTGTGCTGTCAATTTTAACACCTAATAATTTTTCACTTGAAGAATTTTGTAATACTTTTGAATCTATTATTAAGTTTGGTTGATAAGTCTGAATTGATAGTTTCTGCTTTGTTCCAGTAACCAAACATTTTGTTTTATTTGCATTAATGAACATGTTATTCATTTTGCACCACTCTTCAACCCTGTATAAATCTTCTTGAACATCATCATGTATATTTTCTATGTTTTTCCCTGATTTATGAAGAGTGGTGTCATCAGCATATAGGTCTGTTTCACAATTTTCAATGCATAAGGGAAGGTCGTTTATAAATAGCACAAACAATAGAGGACCAAGTATAGAACCTTGGGGGACACCAAATTTTACATGTTGTTGTTCAGAGTAAACATTACAAATGTTTACCTGCTGTTTTCTGTTATTCAGGTATGACTTGAAAAAACTAACAGTAGCCTCACTAAATCCATAAATTTCAAGCTTTAAACAAAGAATGTCATGATCTACCAAATCAAAAGCTTTTTTAAAATCTAATAAAATTGCTAGGTTTAAATTACCATCATTCATTTCTTGCAACCATTTGTCAATGATATTAATAAGTGCAGTTTGACAAGAATGCTGCGGCCTGAAACCAGATTGTGTAGGGTGTAAAAGTTTAAGTTTAGATAAGTATTTGTACATGTTATTAGAAACATGCCTTTCTATTAATTTTGATAAAGTTGGAAGAACAGATATAGGTCTGTAATTTGTTGCTAAAAGCTTGTCACCATCCTTGAAAACTGGTGTTACCTTAGCATTCTTCAGTAAAGAAGGATATATATACCAGTATCTATCATTCTGTTAAATATGTATGTGAGAGGTGATGCAATAACAGGGGCGCTTAATCTTAGGATTTTTGGTCCTATATTATCCATACCAGATGCTTTGTTTATATCAAGTTTTGTTAACTCATTAAATAGCTCATTCATGATCACTGGTGGTATAGAAAATTTATCATGTTTACCACTGGATGTTAAGCACCCAACACTCAATCAATCTAATCAGTATCATTTAAAAAACGATATTGTTTCACAAATTGCAATGAATGATTTTTTTTTATGTCAGTATATTTTTCAAAAATTATCTTTCAAAGAATTTTTCCTTCTTTCACTCTATTTTATCTTGGCTTTAGTATGAAAAGCGGTTAAAAGAATTTTTTGATTTTATGTGATTTCAACAAAATACAGAAAATAATTAGATTTATTTCAGAATTTAATTCTTCTTTTGATATTTAAATAATTCCAAAATAATTCTTCTATTTAATTTACTACTCATATAAATTGATTGAACTGCCAAATAAAATTGTGAAATAATCATAAGTTTTAAAATATTTTAGCAATGGAAGCACCAAAGTTATCGTCTGCCCATACCACCTTGTGTTTAAGCAGAAGTTATGACGTACCGAGGAAATACACAATAGCAGGACTAGAAAACTTATCTCGTTCTTTCCGAGACCAAGGTCATAAGAGGTTATTACAAAGACGAGAGTCTAGCAGCGGAGATAGCGACGAGGTGTTTGACCTGTCGGAACAATACCAACAAAGTGATGATAGACATTATCTAGCGTACTTACAAAAACTAGATACAATTGATTCAGCCAGTGACAGTTCACCAACGATTGATCCTGTGGAAAGGAAAGAAGTTGGAAGTTGGTGAGTAGTTGTAAGAAATTAACGCAAAAAACCCCAAATCTAAGACAACATTTTTTAACTAATGACTCAGTTGATGTCTTTTAATGAATCAAAAGACCTCCTATAGAACCCCACTCTGTTGACAAAATTAGCTTAGATATACATGAAAGGGAGTTCAATTTTAAGTCTTGCCAGTGGATTAATTTAACCTTGATCATAAAGTAATAGCTTTGTACAGAACTTTTTCCTTTAAGTATCTTTTACACAAGCTAAAATTTGGATAGACTTTACCGAGTGAATGTTCATTTTAAAAGATTGAGATTTTGTTATGCAATGTGAAATGGGAAATAACTCTAGAAGACTAGAAACATCATTCAATGTACTTAATAAAAGTCAAAACATTAGCATGCTTGATGAGTAATAAAAATCAATACAATAATGTAACAGATGCCAAACATGAATCACCATAGCAATTTTTATGTAAACTCATGACAAATTATAAACTTATTATAACTTCATCAATTTCGTATTTTTCGTCAGAGAAACTACATATTTAAAATATTGTTAACTGAAACATGGGTCTAGTGAAAGCCAGTGAAGAGTATTTATGGTAAGATATAGAAAAGAGAATCATCTAAAAAGTGTAGAAAAAAATATCAGTATCTGTTTTGTGGTTGTATCATATTTAAATCACCTCAAACACTGCTGAAGAGGGGACCCAGACTATTGGGGTTAAAAAAAAAAAGAATCTTGTTAACTGCATAGACAGATGGATTGGTGTTTTACGTCAACTGGAATACGTACATGTATATCAGGATGAGAACATGTTGATGTAAAAAGATATGCACCTGCTTTGTACAAGAGTGATGCACTGAGCCAGATTTTTATCATACTAGTTCACAAAATAACACTCCAAAGGAAACCCTTCCCAAACACATTATTTCGATTCCAAGTCTACCATTATTTGCTCTTACTATTTAAATTTTCAATTCTTTGGTTTGACCTGGCTGAGGATCGGCACCCTTGACCTCCTGCACTTGAAGTGATCATGCTACCACAAGATCACTGAGGCGGTCAACTTGCATAGAAGTGCTTAGTAGTGAGTAATTCAGCATCAAGATAAAAGATCATCTCTTATTTACTTTTGTTACTTTACATCAAATATTATACATCAAAACTCATATGGGGTGCACTTCTTGAGTTGGTCAGCAGTTAGTAAAAAATATATCAGATTGACCTACTTTTAATGCTTCACTTACTCACTTACTTCGGATCTGAAGAAAGCAGGATCATTTATAATTTATAAAGAGTTTTGCATCATTAAGTAGGTCATAGTTTAGTTTTATAGAAGACCCTCTCAACCTATTACTGAAAAACTCTTTATCTTATTTTAAGGTTTCATGACTTTTTTGTATTACATGTACCTGTATATCTTATGATCCACCATTTAGAGCATGAATGTATGTTTCATGCTCTGAATGATGAATGATCTTGAAGCATGATTGATAGATGATCAAAGGAATGTCTGTTATTGTGGATTCATTTATTTTCGTGGGTACCAGTTAATGTGGATGGAGGAAATAATGTATTTTTGTGGATATTTGATTTCATGGTTTTGCCAAAGTCTGCATCTAAGCCTAAATAAAATTTGTACTTCGTTGAAGATTTAAATTGTGGCTTCTTGACACTCACAAAATCCATGTAAATTGGTCTACCACGAATAATAATGAATCCACATTTTTTTTAATGGGTAGGATAACTACTATGTGTTCCATGATCTCCAGTTAGTCTTTATCCATTAAAAGGAGAGGGTAAGGTAAATGCCTTATTTGGACAATTATTTTTAACTAAAAATTTATATTTGTAATTGAAGATTTTGATTTATATCCGTATTAAAGTTGAGATAGTACAAACTAAAAACAAAGATGGTTCAGGAACCATGATGTAAAATTATTGCTTTTGACATAGTAGTAGGATAACTTTTAAAAGTTTTTTGTAAAAATACTTGGTTTTTGGTCATTTTCAAATGTTTTAATTCATAAAATAATAATTACATTACATTTATGTTTCACGAGAATCCGTTAGTTTGATTGGCTAACAACAATCGTGCGTCATTCAAAAATTAACCTTCATATGAAAATGAAATGTTACATTCGTGATGACACTTGCTTCCACAAAAAAGTGCACAGGTAAATAAAAGAAAAACATGATAATTTTTTTTTTCTCATGGTCTTAGCATAAAAATGTAATTATAAGAAATGAATGCTTCTTTTAGTACTTTGATAGGGTTGTAAAAGTGTTGATAGTGCACACATTGTAAGAATGAAACAAAATGTACTTCTGTCAACACTTTTACACCCCAACAAAATTACAAAAAGAAGCATTCATTTTTTAAGTAGCACTTGTCCTTTCAAAATATTTGTGTGGTTTTAACATGCACTCAATACTTCCCTTTGCCACTACACATTAAGCAAACAAAAATTAAACAGTCACTATTCCCAATATACTAGTGTATGTAAGAAGAAAAAGCTATAATCATTGAAAAAAAGATATATGATTTTTTATCTTAAAGTTTTGGTAACAATTTATATTATTCAATAGAATAGACAGTTTAGTCTCTTTCCACATACATATTCTTTATTGTAGTTCATTTTTGTCCTGCCCTCCCTCAACTGCTGGCCCGTGCTGGGGCATATTTTCAATGTCTCATTCTCATTTTCAGAAATTGGACTTGTTCTAAGTATTAGAGTTATTCCTAGAACTGTTTAGTTGATTTTTTGTTTTTACTTTATGATGGTAATTTAAGAGTTCAGTATTTTTGTGATTTTACTTTTTATACGCCCGTCAAATTTTTGATGAGACGTATTATGGTATACAAATGTCCGGCGTCCGTCCGTCTGTCTGTCTGTCCGTCTGTCTGTCCATCTGTCCGTCTGTCTGTCCGGCGTAAACATGTCGCACCATAACTTAAGAATGACTTATCCAAATTTCATGAAACTTTACATAGTTGTTTCTTATGATGGTCAAACGATCTGTATACTTTTTGGTGAAAATAAGATTAAAACTTTTTGAGTTACGGGACTTAGTAACTAAAACAGGTGTGTGTTTTTTTTCACATGTAGCGCCGTATCTCAAAAACAATTTATGATTATTGCTTAAAACTTTACACACTTCTTAGTTATATTAATTTTAAGATCTGTATACTTTTTGGTGATGATTCAAAATTTTATTTTAGAGATATTGAGTATTTTGTTAAAAAAGGGGGAGGGGTTTTTCACATGTCGCACCGTATCTCAAAAACAGTTTATGATTATTGCTTAAAACTTTACACACTTCTTAGTTATATTAACCTGAAGATCTGTATACTTTTTGGTGATGATTCAAAGTTTTATTTTTGAGTTATTGAGTATTTTGTAAAAAAAGGGGGAGGGGTTTTTTACATGTAGCGCCGTATTTCAAAAACGATTTATGATTTTTGCTTAAAATTTTACACACTTCTTAGTTATATTAATCTAAAGATCTGTATACTTTTTGATTATGATTCAAAATTTTATTTTTGAGATATTGATTTTTTTTTTTTTTAAAGGGGGGGTTTTCACATGTCGCGCTTTATCTCAAAAACGATTTATGATTATTGCTTAAAATTTTACACACTTCTTAGTTATATTAATCTCAAGATCTGTTTTCATTTTGGTTTTGATTCAAAATTTTATTTTAGAGATATTGAGTTTTTTGTAAAAAAAAAGGGGGGTTTTCGCATGTCACGCCGTATGTCAGAAACTATTTATGCTTATTGCATAAAAATTCACACACAAGACGACGGGCGTATCATGCGCTCATGGCGCAGCTGTTTATTATTATCTTGAATACAAAAATATATTAAAAAGACAGCAAAATTATACATTTTACCAATTTTAAGCCTCATTTTTGTCTCGTCTGCAATGAAAATTGCATTATGCAAGATATAAGGATTACAATCCGGTAGCAGCGTAAACTATTTGTATTCAGCTATATATTTGAGAGGAAGGAGACCTGGAGGCTTCAAAAGTTGTATACAGATGCCTTATGTTACAAAGTTTCTGTCTGTCATATATATGTTGTCCTTGACCTCATTTTTAAAAATGCTTGAAAAAAAGTTAAGTTTTTATGCCCCCGCCCTAGCGGAGGGGGCATTAAGTTTTACCCTTGCCTGTCTGTATGTAAGGACCGATCATACGTCCCAAAACTGTTTTCCGTTCTCTTACTTTAGTTTGCCTCAACCAAATGTTCTAAAACTTATACACAATGCTTATGGTATAGAACCACTAATTCAGGCCCGGCCGGAAAGAACATACAAGAAAGTAGTACATATTTTAAACAAAATAGTTCCTACGCATAGCTGCATCTTTGTCAATAGTGGAAATATTTGGGTAGTTTTAGTATCAAATGAAAGCTTGGGGACTTGGGGTCACTGTAGAATCCTTGTTGAAAGTTTTATTTGAATAATAAAGATGTATAGGAAATTTTAATAGGAGGGCTCATTTGGCCTGTTGTTTAGATCAGAAGTTCCTGTTTTTGTACTATCAAACTTCCGGGAACCAGTACGCTCTAATATGCAATTAAAGGTATGTTGATTTTTTCAGCACAAGTCAGCATAAGGTACAGTTTTGACATGAAATAACTGCCACTTTATTTGAAATTAAGATAAAGTAGCCATTTATGCTTGAAATTGCAGAATTTAACATAGACAGCAATGGGGCTATGAATTAGTGGTTTTATACCTATTACTGACAGGCATGTGAAATTCTATTTTTAGAAATCATACCCTTTACAGTGAAAATTGGTCACATTTGTTGTCAGAAATCATGTTACATTATTTTTTTTTATGTAACAATTATGTTAGTGTCAAATAACAGCCCTCAAATTGCTACAATAAGGTATTTTAGCCTTTTTTGGTCATTTAGCATGCACACAGTTAAGATTTTACCTGAAATTTTAATTTTTGGATTATCTAACACTGAAACCAATGAAACTTGTATATT